AAAAAACAATTTTCGTAAAATAAAAAACAAATTCGTTGTCTCGTTTTAAGAAATGAATAATCAGTTTAAACATTTTTTTCGTTTTGATATTGCCAAAAGTACATTTAATTTTTGATAGAGGTGATTACAAAATAATAAATTTTATTAAATAGATATTACCTACTATTATAATTAATATTATTTAGTATTATTAAAGTAATTATTAAGAAAAAGTGTTCAAAACCGTCGGTAAATAACATAGGGTAATTWCTACCTTTGAAACAAATTAATTAATAATAAGTTAATTTCGGAAATGGAAAATTTTATCTGGTTTTATTTCAGTTTTAAATGTTACCTARTTGTAATTTTGTATATTTATACAACGTGAATTTTATAAATGAAAATATAGAGATTTACTTTATTTGCTTATATCTTGTCGATTATCTACGATATTTTAACGCAAAATTTTATCGGTATTCCATAGAAAACAAAACTTTTTCCAACAAGAAAAAACTGAATTTTTGTAGCAATTTTGAATTTAATACTAAATAAAATATTTGCATATGGAAGTTTAACAAACACTGAAATTAATAAAAAAAAATCTTTTTGATGACTTTTGAAGACATTTTGGGATTCTCCATTTCAGAAAATCAAGGTTTTTTACATAGATATCTTATCTAACACATTTATTTGTATTTGTTTTCTTACATTTTTAGTTTGAAAATTAAAAATTCAAGAAAATGAATTTATATAGCTATTAAGATAAGAGTTTTAAACTATATTTTTCCAACACTAAATTATTAATAAATTATTATAAATAAATATGTCAAAATTGTCAAAATGTCAGAATAGGTGTATTTTATGTGATTGACGACGTATTTTACAGAAAAAAAAGCGTAACATAATTAATAACTGGAACATTTAGCTTTATAAAGTTATACTAAAAAAAAACGCAGAATACAATAAATTGTTGGAAGTATTATAAAAAAATTGTTGCTAATTAAATAAATTCTAAAACTTAGTTTCAGTTAAATTTGTTAAATTTTACAAAAATTGCACTTTTTTAAACTTTTGATAGAAATAAAATTAATGAAATTTTTGTTTTTCATCGTCGGAGGATTTTTAAATTTGTCAATTAAACTTTTAAGGCTTAATTTTAAAATTATAGTCAACTTGAGTACTCGAGCAAAGTTCCAGATGTTATTCTTTAGAAAATCGTTGCTATTTTTATTAGCCAATAATAAAAAACTTTAGTATCATTCAAAATTGCATTGCAAATAAATAGTAGCGCTATCAGTTTAACGATTTTTATGGACTTATTTACTGTCAATAATGTAGTAGATTTTAGTACTTCCCATTCATCAAATAGTTTTTTGATTTTTGAAATAAAAAATGTTACTTACTTGGATGCGATGGGGACTAGCGTCCAGTCATACCCTTGCAAAACTTTAGTAACCGCATCATTAATTTCACTTTTATCAAGTTGTTGTGAGTTGGAAGAGCCACTGTTTGAACTTCCATTGTTATCTTGAAGAATGGAAACGGCGGCCGCCGTGACGCTCGTCGCCGTCGAGGCGGTGATAGCCACCGAAGAGGTCCGCGACAACGAATTCATTTCAAAAATAATCACACACGAGAAATTTATGAATGAATTTCAACCACCTGACGACAAACAATTTGAAAACAATCAAGTCCTGTTCGGATGGCATGCACTAGCACCTTCTACGACACCAATCAAAGAGTGCTTTGAAAATCTGAGAGCTGTTTCTTTAAACCACGCACTTGTTTGGAGTGTTTATTGGCTGTCTCTTTTCCGTTTGTAAGGTAAAGAAGGACGAGATGGTTGAGTTAAGACTTTGCTAACGAATGACTTAACCAATGGCAGACGGGGATATACGCCTTTGGACGGCGATTGGTCGATTGGGGTTTTATTTTTTATTGAATTTGCATTTAAATTTTGGATAGGTGAGATGTGAGGCTAACCAGAACGGTGAGTTGGGAGAAGTAGGTAGGACTGTGTTAAAGTTGGTTCAATTTTTCTCTCAAGTAGGTATATTTTCGCTACGATTTAATTTGCTTGTTTCAAAATCTCTATAAAATAAAAATTAAAAATCATTGTCGGCAAAAATGAATCGACAATAATTTGCTCCCATTTTAATATCTGTAGTTTATCTTTTGCTTCACAAGTGGAAAATTTGCTGATCTTGTGGTAAAAAAACGTAGCTATTCTACTGATTGCCTTCTAAGGGATGGTTATTAAGTATTACTAGGGTAAATCCGAGAAAAATGGATTTTTACACATCAAAAGTATTTTTTATTTTGTTACGTTGTCTTAAAGTCCATACTATTGAATTGAAATAAAGATCATAATTGTGGTCCTTCTCTCGCGGACTTACCCTAATTAAGATAATTTTCGGAACGTTTAATTTTCAGTGTGAATATCAGTAATAAATTTTTTTTATCAACTTTTATTGACTTTAAAAAGAATAAATTATTCAAAATTTTTCGAATTGTGTGATTTTGTTCTGATTTGAAATACAGGCTGCGCCAGAAATCGCGCTCGAGAGAAAAAAAATGTAAGGAAAGATACCAGAAACATGGAGAAAATGTTAAAAAAGTTATGAGAGTTTAAATTTTGCACTTTGACTCTATTTATTTTTGTTGGAAAAATATTTTTTTATTTTTAGAAGAGAAAACAAGGAAGCTGTATTCAAACTTTGTGATTTGTGGCTTTTATTGGCAAAATTTTTGTATCATTACTTGATAATTATAAAAAACAAGGCAAGATCATCAGTGTCATTAAATATACATCAAAAAATGTCAAATGTCAAAAAGTAAATGTCAAAATGTTTTGACAGATAGAATTTTTTAAACATTTTCATAAGTATTTAGAGGTAGAGCTTATTCCATATCTGGTGGCGAACTGACAGTGACAGAAAAGACACTTGGAGTGCGCCCACTTGGTTAAGATAAAAAAATACATGGGCGTATTTTTTCTCTCTAAAAATTTTGAAGACAAGGATTGTTAGGAATATCATTTTTGAAAATTCTTTTCATGCGTTAACAATTTAATTATTTGTTCAGCATTCTTCATCTTATGTACGAGTACCTACTTATTAGAATTTTTAAAGAATAACAGTGGTTTTGAAATATTATTTCATACGACGCCTATGAACAATATTTTTTTTTAATAGTAAACATATGTTTAGCGTCAAAATTCAGTCATTTTTGAAAACGTTAATTCGCCACCACAAGCTATATGTTGTCAACAGGTCAATTTTTTCTTTTTAAAAAATACAAAATTTTCAACTTGATTTAAAATTGTGTTTGTTTTTTATTGATATTATTTTACTTTTTGTGATTTTTTTCGAAAACTACGTAATGTTTAATATTTTGGTGTTCTCATTTCCACAATTAAAAGATAAAATAGTTAGGGGCTTCCTTAAAAAAAATTCGATGACGTCATTACTAAAAAACTAAAAAGTGTAAAATTTTAAATCAAGTTGAAAATTGTGTATTTTGTCAATTTTGAAAATTGACCTATTTGATCATTTATGCTAAGACAAAATATTTTCAGTTTTAATAGATAATTCCATAATTTTATTTAATTTTAATTTTTTTGTTTTATCAGTTTCATATTTGGTTACTGATTGTAAAATTCCTTTGGGATGTGCTGTGGAATAAATTATTATTTGCAAAGAAAAAAACAATCATGTATTTTACATTTAATGATGTTAGACCAAAAAAGTCTTTTTTTAAATTACTTTTACCATTTATGTAAAAAGAAAAAATAGACGAAAAAAAATAGAAAAAAATATGTTATCTAAGGTTTAAAAAGTACTTTATATAACATTTAATAAGACGATGAAACAAGTTTTGACCACTTGGAATTTCAGAAAATGTTGAAAGGTAACTCAAAATTTGCTGAAAATGCTCAGTAATACTTACGTAATCAGTTATCACTTCTTACATAACTTATCTATTATATATATGAAAAAAATTTTAACAAACAAATTCTTTCTTTGACAAGTAATTTCAAGATTTATGTAGTTCTATCATTTTTTTTTTAATTTTTAATAAAAATTAAAACTACTTAAAATTACTTGAATTTTTTCTCTGGGGCGCGAGTTCTGACACACTCTGTATACATAAGTGTTTAGAGGTATGTTGGATTAAAAAAATTTTGATTACTTTTGGCATAAACATAGAATGAAACCGGGAGAGATGGACCAGCAGAAGAGATGAATTTTGCTACTTAGAAGGTCTCTACGATTCTACCTCTCATTGAAAATGTTAATGTTTTAGCTCATGATATGACTTCTAGAATATTTTTGACAAAAAAAATAATTTTATAGGCAAATTTGATTTAATTAAATTATTATTTGTGTATAAATTGACAATTCTTGTAAAAAACAGCCTCTGAAGAGCAAAACCTGTAGGGTAATATATTTATATTTCGTCATTGTTAATGTTTTAAGTTACAGTTAGACACCGCTTTAAAAAATTGTAACCCAATAGGAAATTACTTACATATTTTGGTATATTTTAAACAAAATCATGATTAAAAAAACCTTTAATCGTCTCAGGTGCAAATTTTAACTTATTACGATAGAAAAAAACCCGATTATCTGTCCTAATATGGTCCGGATTTTCCGGATAAGCCAAAATTTCGTATAATCAAAAAATTTTAATGTAATGTTTTATAATTTTTATATTACTTGTTGAATTACATAAAACGCTATTTTTTCTAAAGAAACAATTTTTGTTACATTTATTCTATGTATATGCCTTTTATGTGCACTAATAGACTACTTGTAACACTCCAAGAACAATGAAAAAAAAAGATTTGTTGCTTCTGAGAATCGCAACAAAAAAAAGACCAAAGCTGGATTAAACGGAGTTTGGAACTTCGAATAACCGGGAGCCGGATAATCGAGGCTCTATTGTATTAGTACTATCGTTTTGAACCACCTTGTATATAATTTACACATTTTATTAGTAAGCAAAAAAACTAAGTTGAAAATTTTGATACCCCTACTAATGTAGGGGTATAATTACAGGATTACAGTGTTGGGTAAAAAGGCAGTAAATTATAAATGATGTGTTGTTTATTGGCATCATGTTTTAACAATTATTAAATATTATTCTAATATTAATTTGGCAATAATGTATGATTTTTCAGTTTTAGATCATTTGGAAGGGATTAATTTTTTTATACAAATAAAAAATGAGTTGGCAGCACTGTCAAGATTTAAAAAATTTCATCGTGTGATTGTGGTTTTATTTTAATACAACATTGACAATAGCAACTGTCACACTCGATTTACTTGTATGATTGATTATGATTTCCGGTGATCCAGAAGTTAAGTCAAGTTGTTCTTCACAATTTATTTTGCTCTATAGTGTATTTATTTTATACAGGGTGCGCCAGAACTCGCACCCCAGAGAAAAATGCCATATAAAATAAGATCCCAGGAAGATGGAAAAAATTCTATAAAAATTTCACAGTTATGAGAGTTTAAATTTTGCACTTTGACTTTATTTATTTCTGCTGGAAAAATAATTTTCCAAGTTTTTTTGCTATAAGCTATTAAAAGAGGAAACAAGGAAGCTGCATCGTAAATTGTAACTGTTCAATGTTATTTGTGGCTTTTATTGGCAAAATTTTTAAATTTTTACTAAATAATTGTAAAAAAAACATATACAGGATTATCAATATCATTAAATAGACGTAAAAAAAATGTCAAATGTCAAAAAATAAATGTCAAAATTTATATTATTGTAGCTGTTATAAATTTAGAATTTCGAAGTTGCTTCATTTTTGATTTTATTTCAGCTAAAGCTTTTGATTGAATTTGAGATGTAGCTCATTATCAAGTAACTAATATTAGCGTGCTTTGTTCCGCTTTGTATCTTTTTCATGTTGTCAATATGTTATCCTCAAATTGACAGCATCATCATTTGTGGGTTTCCTGATGATGACCCGTGCCTGAGTGTTTACACCTGGACTAGAACCGACAAAGACAAGAACCGCCTGCAAGCGTCAAATATTCATCATCTTGTGAGTTCCTAGTCGATGATTTAGCACCATTTGGGTATTCGCATATTTAAGAATTCCTAACACACAGTTCTGACAAAGATAAATGACTCACCCTTACCAAATGTACGCTTTTGTAACTTACAATAGTAAATAAATAACGTCTGTTTTTTCTTTAAATGGAAATTACCAAGTCAAAATTTTGGTGAAAAAATTGGTAGCAGCAACGAAATACAAAATTGCTGGATTTTTTGGACCCAAAAAAAGTAGTAAGGCGGAATAAAAATTATAAAAAACGCACTTAGAACGTTTTAATGTCTCAGTTTAAAATCGTTTTAAATTAATTTAAATTAAAGCTGTGACTAAATTATTCACGAGAAATATGAGAAAAAAAAATTAAAATCTGTGCTCCGTTTCATTTTTTTTTTCAAAATGCTGCGAATACGGTTGAAGATACAAGAAAAATGTAAGAAAGAAAGTTGTAGAGAATAAAATTTTCTAGTAAAAAGTCCGCAAGGCCATACCTCTATCTTTAATGGTTTAGGCCTCAAAGACGTTCAAAGAAGCTCAAGCGACGGATTCGTTGCATTTTTACTGGTAATTCAGTGCCAGAGGAACACTTTAAAGCAATTTAAACCTAAACCGTTGAAGATAGAAATATAGTCTCGGGGAC